CGAGCAGCCGTCGCCGCCGCAACAGCAGCAGCCGCCTCACGAGGCTGCCGAGGGGGCAGGGCGCGCGGCGGCGGCGCCCGGCGCGGGCCTGGAGGCAGGGCCGAGTGCACCCGCGGCGGAGTGTGCGGAGCTGGTGGGGCGGGCTGCGTCCCCGCTGGAGACGCCAGAGGCGTACCTGGAGCGGCTGCGGGAGCTGCTGACTCAGCATGCGGCCGACGCGGCGGGCTGCGGCCGCGCGGGCGCCGATGCGGAGGTGCACAGCGATGGCGGCGACGGTGGCGTATGTGGCGCCGCGGAAGATGACAGGCGCGCGTCGCCGGGCGGCGTAGCTGCGCGGCTGCAGCAGCTGAGGGGCCGGCGGCAGGAGGGGCGAGAGAGCGCAGAGGGAGACGCATCGCCGGCGGCTGCGCGCGGGGATGCGGCGGCCGGGGCGGCTGGGGCGAGCGCTGCGGACGCGTCGCCTCGCAGCATGAGCGTCGACAATGACGGGGCACCTGCGGGCGGCGGCCCCGCCGCAGCCGACACCACAGCCGACACAGCAGCAACCCGCGGCAGCGGCCCGCTGCTGGCGCGCGTGCTGGCGCTGGCGTCGCGTGGCCTGCAGCAGGGGGAGTGGCGCGAGTGCTGCGAGCGCGCGGCGGCGGCGGCGCGGCTCGACCCAAGCAGCAAGGTGCGACCTGCGAAGGGGCTCGGACCGCCGGCCAGCGCCGCGCCGCTGCGGCTCCTTTGTTAGGCTGCCCCGGCTAATGACATGACTGATGAGCAAAGCTGCGCCGCGGCCAAAGCCCTAGCTCTCTGCACAGGGTCTCGTTGTTTGGCAGCCGCTGGGTGATCTTCTACTGGCCGGTTTGAACCCGCCTGCGCACCCGGCCCGCATACAACCCCAACTCAACCATTCGCAGGAGGCGCGGCAGCTGTGGCTGCTCGGCGCCATCCTGCAGCGCGCCCAAGGCGGCGGCGACGGCTTCGGCGCAGACCCCTGGGAGCTCTTGTCCTTGGCGGACGCACCCCTCGGCGGCTCAGAGGGTCCCCAGCAGCAGCAGCAGCAGCAGCAGCAGCAGGAGCAGCAGCAGCAGGTCCAAGGCGGCCCGCGCGGCGCGGGCGCGGCGCGCCGTCTGTACCGGCGGCTGGCGGCCCTGGTGCACCCTGACAAGTGCGCAGACCCCTCGTGGGCGCCCGCCGCGCACGCCGCGTTCAAGGCCGCCGCGGCCGCGCGCGACGCGGCGCTGCGGCTCGCCGGCGCCGGCGCCGGCGGCGGGCAGGGGTCGGACGGGGATTGGGGCGGCGACGAGGAGGGGGACGGGGGCGATGCGGCGTGGTGGGG